AGTTTTACTGAAACAGAAAGAGAAATGGTTTATGTTGAAAGAGTTCTCCAAGTAATAATCCTGATTAATTAAGTAATTTTGCTTAAGTTAACGCACTAATTACATGAACCAACCTTTTCTGTTTCAAGGATCACCGAGTTGAGGATTTTACTCATCTTACATTCTATAAGCAAGGTCTTGCTGTTTCATGATAAAAAGTTGTGTTTCTCATAGGGATAACCTTGATCCTCCTAGGTTAAGTGAGGGTTGGAGAGATCTGGAAGATGCTAGGGAAATGTAAAGGTAAGGCAGAGGTAGAAAGTAGGGTTAGATGCAAATGTAAAGGAATCTGGATTTTCCTTTTCTGTTGGGCAGAGACAGCTTGCTTCTGTGCCGCCCTTGCCCCCGCTTTTCTCAAGTCATCAAAAGATCCTATGCCTTGATGAATGCACCGCCGACATCAACGTTCACATAACTTCACTACTGCACAACACAAAGGGAATGCAAAGTCGTAACCATCATTACCATTGCTCACCGCATTTCAACAGTTCTTGATTTGGACAGCATCCTAAATCTTGAACGCGGAATTTTGGTTGAACAAGAAAAACCACAACATCTTTTGCAGGATGACTCCTCAACTTTCTCAGAGCTTCAAAGTGAAATGTTGTTAGAATCTGATTAGTTGTAACTTCTGATCTTTGCTATAAAGATCTGTGTTCATGATTTAATATAATCTAACTACTTGTTTAAACTAAAGAAAATAAATTAAGCAAAACTATTTTCTAACTATAGTAGTAGCCTTGTTTGACTGTCATATATGTGCTCAGTTTTCCATAATAAATGACTCTTCTTGGACTTCACTAATACAAAAAACACATGACAAAAAAGACTCTTGTTATACAAAGTTCATATATCTAGTCCAATGGTGACTGAGAAGTAATCAATAGTACTCCTATTGTCTGTTTTTCTTCCAAGAAGTTAGTTCAGAAGGAATTAACTCTTCCTTGCAACTTAAAACAGTTTTAGCCATGAGTTTCCCAAGCCAATCATGATAGAGTAGTCACCTTGATCCGAGCCCTGAAAATACCCAGAATTTGCAAGACTCACTTGCTGCACCTATGAGCTGATTTACACATCACAAGAGTTGTAGTGACCCATGGCTTGTGACAGGTTGGCATTGCTCTCAACCCAGCCCTTTCTCCCTTAAATTCCCACTTCTATATGTCTGGATAAACTGCACTTGCTTTCAGAAGAAGCTCGCCGAGAGCTCTTGAAGCTTCCTCTGCTGGGACATCCGATGAATCATTTCTTGATTGCCATTCCCATGTGCAGATTACGAGGTCCCTATACCGCAAGCCAGACATCTGACAAGATCGAAGGTCCATCCTCTAAGATTATGCAGCTAATAGGCCTTACACCAGGTCCAACACCAATGTTGGCTGAGATCGATAAACATCGGTTTCCTATTAGTACTATCTCCTAAAGCTAAAATATGGAGGCGGTGTTTGGTGGAATTGGGGAAGATATAGAGCCGAGCATTTCAAAGATTTCTTGTTTAAAGCAATTTCTTAGCACAAGGAGTAATCCAAGAACGTCTAAGAAACAATGATTTCCACCAACTTACCCAGAGTCTTAATCTGGTCCCAGAAATCCTTATTCTCATATGTGTATATCTCGATCTAATCTCACAAGACCAAAAGAATCATGTAAATGATGACGCAGATCTCTGATTGATAATAATGTAAGTCTCTAAGAGAGGCTTATAATGAATACTCACATGTGTATCTTATTTCGCTATATATTCCTTCAATGGCATTGAAGATATCTGAGGTAAACACAAAGACACCACAATTTGTCAAGTCATTGACTTGCATTGAGAAGATCAACATGAAATTTTCTAAGCTAAACAAATTTCAGTGCAAGTGAAGGAAATAAGGAAACAGGATAGTTTAGCCAACATTTCAAAGTCGAGAATAAAACAAAGCACACGTCCCAAAATAAAACAAAGCAAGGATTAACAAAAGTCTAGATGTTCACAAAATACTTAATAATAAAATAAAACAAATTTATTCTTCAATGGTCCACGAATTATTGGGGTACGCCGCCGTTATTAATTTCACCGCTCCATCACTCAAAGCCTGAGACACCAAACAACGATCGAGACAACCATATTCAACACTGCAGCCACTGTTGCGCCAATCAGGACGAACGAGACACTCTTCTCCTCCAGGATTGGGACAATCGTCCAGACCCCAGCGGTGAAGGTAGTAAGAAAGGATGCTAAGAATGATGAATCCGTTGCGAAGCATCCTACGAATGCGAGCCGCATCTCTTGACACGTTAACCGTCAGGTAGACCGCACCGACCAGACTTGCCAGAAACGCAAACTCAGCGCATCCAAAGTAAACATAGTAGGAAGCTTTGTGCCTAAATCGCACGTGCCCGTTCTGGTCCAACCCTCCTGGAGGGTTCAGAATCCCAACCGCCGATATCCCGCCTAGGTACTGCAGAATGGTGTTGATGTTCTTGAGCTGTTCTTGCTCTTACAAGGATAACAAAATTAAGCATTAGACGAAGCCAAAGTATTTATACACACATTATTAAGATTCAAAACCACAAAATCTATATCTATGGTTCTTGATTGGTTCTGTCATACCTCTTAAGAACAAAAATAGCATTTTTTCAAAACCCCAGATTATTAAACTGAGGAACAAAGGAAAGGAAGAAGTTTCTATGTCAATAATCACCTATGCCAAAATGAAAGTATAGCATCTATATATACCTT